ACAGATGAAAGTTAGAACTCGTCATGACTTGTAGCTCCAAATGGGAAGAGAAGTCAGTTAGGATTTTGTACTCAGAGATTTGGTAACAGCAAAATGGAGGCATTTTAATCTTGGCAAAGGAGGTGGGATTAGTTAGGCCTTGAGGACTCCCTCTGGATAGGCTAATTTGAATTCAGGCTCCAGGGCATGGGGGCTGCCTCTAATTGCACCTGGTCTTGGGACAATTAGAATAGTGACTTCTTGGGGCCTCCCCTGGTGGCGCTGGTGGTTGAGCCCAGCACTGTGAAGCTATCTGCAGCCTCTGCAGCACCAGTTTGATCCCAGCCAGCTGGCCATCGAGGGTCCCACATGGCACAACAGACCTCTCCTGTCTCTCCCACTGCTGCCCTCAGCAGTGTATTTCGTCAATCTGCCTGTTCTGCTCCCTGCTCTGTCTCTGGTGAATCCTCTCACCCTCCCGTGCATCTGGCCTGTACCCCGGTTCTTGTATAAATAAATAAATAAATCTTTAAAAAAAAAAAGAATAGTGACTTCTAAATGAGGAAGCTTGATAAAGTTATGGATTTGAGCAAGAAAGAGAACTGATCTGCTACCAGTATCTCAAAACTGGATCAAGGAACACAGAAAACAACAATAACATGAGATGAGTCCATCTCTGTATCTGGTAAAGGGTTCTGAAATGTTATCTGAGTTCAAAGGAATGTTGCATAATGTTTTAAAACTTCATAGCCTGTTACCAGGTGGCATATTTTCCTGCCCTATATCTGGAAACATAAAGTAATGGAATGGTAGAAAAGTAATGGAAGAAAATTCTATCCTCATAATTATACTGGCTCTATCACCCCTGTTCAGTTTCTACCTTTCAGAAAATTACCCAGCTACTCTCAAGGAATGGCGCACAATTGACAAGAAAATGGCAGGAACTCTCCTTCCCACTCCCCAGCATTTTGGAGCAATTTCACTCCTTTTTCAGGTTACCATTGCAAGTTTCTCTTTCATCCAGTTTTCTCTTTTGGCGACTGCCATGTCTCTTCACTAAGTACACCCTGGATTGGTGCTCCTCAGCTTATTATCAAAGACCATTTTTTAAAATAATTCTTAAATTGGGATCTCATGCAAAAAGAAAGAGTGAAACAGGATATGGATAGGAAAGGAAAAGAGTCGTGTATTAGCAGAGTATTTAGTCAAGTTTCTGGGCAATTTATTATGTTTTATAATTTGTTCCTTCTGGCTGAATTTTTAACTGACTGGAGTTTTACAATGCACAGTTAGTAGTAGCTACAAAAAAAATCACAGTTCTGGGAGTAAACAATTCGACCTGTTTCTGAATTTTCTAAACATTTAAAATTTATTTTTGACAGAAAGTAGATTTCATATTTAAATTTAATTTTCCTGACAGTATGAGGGTATGCTAACATGCACCAAATGTTTTGTGCTTGTAATATAAGGGAACATTAAACTATGAAAAAATTTGCAGATTTAAATTTTTTTTAATTAGTTATTTTGTAAAATAGAAGCCAAACCTTGCTCACTTCTATAGTTCCATGAAGTCAATATATTTTTTTTTTACTTTCTTTTCTCCACATCATTTTTAAGTTTTCCAAGGCCTACCAGATACGCTTACTTAATTTCAACTCAAAATTTCCATGCCAAAATTCAAGGTTTTCAAAATGATTTTTTCCAACTTGCTACCAAGGTCAGAATCAATAGGAATAGTATAGGTATTTCTCATGGTGATTCAGAGTGTTACTTAATGATATGAGAGGTCCAATCTAGATCATACTACAAAATAAAAAAGTTGAAGAGATAGTATTTATAAATCAAGAAAGATAGATTGGAAATTCAATTAACTCCCCTCCTTCCTTCCATACTGCCTGTGACCCACAATACAAAGATGCTGCCAAACTGACAAGCCACATTCTCCATCAGTGAAAAGCAGTTTGCTTAACAAAAGCCAGTTGTGTTCATTTTTAACCATATTTAGACTAGTTGAATCAGTTATTACAAACTTTAGTGAAATACAATGCAACTAATTAAATACTAATGTTGAAATGTTGTTTCCTTGATAACAATGAACTTGAGAAAAACTTGGTAAGTATGAGTTAGCAAAATTAACATTATAGGGCCTCCCTGGTGGTGCAAGGGGTTAAGACACAACCTATGAAGCTATCTGCAGCCACTGCAGCATGAGTTTGATCCCCAACCAGGGAGCTACCCACATGGTGCAGCAGACCTCTCCTGTCTCATCCCCTCAGCAGTGTATTTCAGTCAATTTGCCTGTTCTGTTCCCCACTCTGTCTCTGGTGCATCATCTCACCCCCACACCTCTGACTTGTACCCCAGTTCTTGTATGCATAAATAAATAAATCTTTAAAAAAATTAACATTATAAAAATTATTGCCATATTAAGTAGAGAAAGTAAACTGCAAAAATAGAGAAACTGTAGGGTCTCCCCTGGTGGCGGAGGTGGTTGACGCAGTGCTGAGAAGCTGTCCTCAGCCTCTGCTGTGTCGGTTCGATCCTGGCCGGCCAGCGAGTGTCCCACATGGCAGACCTCTCCTGTCTCACCCGCTGCTCCCCTCAGCAGTGTATTTTGTCAGTCTGCTTGTTCTGTTCCCTGCTCTGTCTCTGGTGAATCCTCTCATGTGCCCATGAATCTGGCCTATACCCCGGTTCTTGTATAAATAAATAAATAATTTTTTAAAAAACAATAGAGAAACTGTAAAAATCTAAAAGAACTTGGTCATCAGAATACTTAAAAATGCCTTTGGGTTTTCACTCCACTTTAAAAGAATCAAAACCAGGAAACCATAGATAATGTGTGACAAGTGTGATTTATGAAAGATGATAAAACTCAATTTGTAATAAATACAAAATAACTTCAGCTGAACTGCATATCTACAAATATCCATTGTAACATGCTGTGTTTTATGTATATATACATGTGTGTCACATACTTTTATTTCATTATATCACTTCAGTTGATTATATTTTCTGTTTGCAGAGCTATTATTGGTTCTGAACATGTGGAGTCAATAATATCAGGTATCTTTTATTATGGCATATTGTATGATATATCCTAATTTATATGTATTGACTCATATAATTCTCACAGCAACACTGTTATTACCAACATTTGCAAATGAGGAAACTAAGGCAAGAAAAGTTAAGTAATTGGCTCAACATTTTATGGGTGTATCAAATAAACTAAAATTTAAACATGGGTAACCTGACTTCAGACTCCACAAACTTAACCTGCAAGTACAGTTTGCTTCTTATGCAAAGATATTGATGATCATTGTCCTTTTGCAGATGGACAAAATTATGGATTCTGCATGAGACACTGAATCTGTATTTACAAAATTATCTTATCACTGAAAGTCAGTCCAAAGCTCATATTCACCTAGAAATAAATTTGCACTGATGTTCTCAGCCCATTTCATTTGCACAGGATAGTTTATCTCTTTCAAAAAATATTCTGGCTTGTTTTGACTAATATCTCATTCCTAATGTGTTTGCCCCTTACCATTGGACAGTTTTCTAATGCCTCTTCTGAAAAGCTAAAAAGTCTTTAGCATAACTTGTCTCTCTTTCACCATAAAACTCAAATGCATTTACAGTGTAACCTTAACAAAGATGATCCACACACTGGCCAGGAAAAGCACCAAAAAATTTAGCTCTGCTAGCTGATTTCTATTATCACCTCCTCCATCCATGTGTTCAGAATGTCACTGAGGCCAAAGCCTACTGACATGCCTGCCATAAACTGATTAGAAGATGCTTTTCATTTTCTTTCTTTAAATCCAAAATTAATCATTCAAAACATTTGGGGTAGGCTCTGTACACAACACCCTATATTTTACTTCATTAAATTCAAAATACCTCTTGATAAGTTCCCTATCTTTGTCACAGCTGGCATTAAGAAAAGGTTTTCTAAAACTTGCAAATATATTTTGATTATGAACAGAGGGAAAATGTCCAGGCAGTTCTCATAATTCACATGATGTGATGGGTACATTAAGCAAGTACTAACTAAAATTGTTAGTTTTAATATTTAAAGTGTAGCTTTCAGAAGCATCAGTAATTTTTCTTCATTAGCTATAAAAGTGCTACTAACTAACTAACTGGGTAACCCAAGAAAAAAGGGAGTCATTCCATTCATGACTTCTGGGATCTTAATGAACCTGTCTCAACTGATTGCTGCTGAAAAAAAAAGGAAGGTAATATATTGGGAAGTGAATTTCTGTAAGATTGTTGCAGGATAATAGAAGGTTTTCTGCATTCTTCTGTGTATTCAAATTTTTCCCATCCTAAAATTAATGACTATTAGACTTATTTGGGAAAAAAGTGAAAATTAATAATTTGGGCCAGAATGTTTTTTGCCATTATAATATGCATATATATATATATATATATATATATATATATACACACACACATACATACATACACACATATATGTATATAATTTAATATTAACATTCTAACTGCTTGGCAGTTTGAGACCATTCTCATATAGATATTCATTCTCTGATTTCCTCTTATTTGCTAATCAAGAGGTTTGCAGAGACTTTTCTAATGAAAGTTTATGTGACGATAACCTCTGATGTGAACTGAGGGATGAGTTATGCATTTTAATTCCCCAGAAACAGCACGGCACCTAAAGCATTATTTTTCTTTGTTTTTTGATCATTTGCATTCTTTGCAGCTTTTGTCAAGTTAAGAACAGTCCAGCTAAAACCTGAAACTCTGTTTGCTTCATAAGAAGTCATTAGGATTTAAATGACTAGGGCACTGAAATGATACTTGAAGAGCTTTTTCTTTTTACAACTTTCCAGCTATACCACACACACACACACACACACACACAAAATCTATGTGGTACTTCTGACTATACTTTCTTTAAATAATACAGCAAAATATGACAATAGCTGCTTTATGGAAAGTTGCTGCAATTGCAGGAAACTACAGTCCCTTCTCATGCTCTGCAGTGTACTCACCAAGTCCTGTCAGGATAAATAATGGCACAAACACCTGCAAGTTGTAGTCTAAGCTTATGCAGAAGTCAGCCTTGAATTTCAATTTTGTGCTTATTCTGTTAGGAAAAAAAATGTAATATAGGTTGTTTATTTCTTTAAAAAAATAATAATTTTCAAAACAACAATAACAGCATTTTTATTACAGCTCAAAACTGTTATTCTTGAATACTTGTCACACTATTAATATTAGTTTTTTAGAACCCAGCTATGATCTTCAAACCACAGGTGAACAGATTTACCTGGACCCAACCCCAAACCTACTAAATCAGAATTCTGTGGGTGAGGTCATAAATTTACACATTTTACAGCCTTCCAAAGTGATTCTCTTGCCAATTCCATGGTAAGGAAAAGTGTGTTTAAGGATCATAAAAATGATGACTGAATGTTATCAATGCTATGAAATTAATTCCTGAAGGACAAGACATATTGAAGACAAAGATGAAGGATGAAATGACCTAAAATTGCTAAATATTCCACTTCTAGTATTCATATATTGGCGCCCAAAAGGAATCTTAGATAGAGCACAGTCCAAAATCTACGACAAATGACAGATGAAACTGATAGGAGTAGGTGCTATTTATTTATTGCTTACTATATGCTGGTCATTGTGCTAAGTATTCTGCAAAGAATATCTGATATAATCTGTTGTTCAGAGAGTTGAAGAGGATTTAAGGTTATCAAATATGTTATTGGAAAATATGGGGTCATATTCTAGATTCAGCTTCTAAACATAGGCCTACTTCATCTCTCAGCTTTCCTGGAGGAAAGCTGGATGCCAACCAATGATTCATGCCTCTTAAAATGAGTTGCAGGAACTTAGACACAACTTACATTTCCACAATTTTTTAGTCATCTACTTAATTTTTCATTTTTCCCTAGAGAAGGAAGAAATTCAGTCTTCTAAAGTGTCATACATTGACATTATTGAAGTCCAAGAACAAAGTATATTGTGTTAAAATGAAACGACTAGAAAACATTCAGATGTCAATTTTTTTAAAAGATTTATTTATTTATGCATACAAAAACTGGGGTATAGGCCAGAGGTGTGTGTGGGGGTGGGTAAGAGGATTCACCAGAGAAAGGGGGAACAGAACAGGTATGTTGCATGAGGATGATCGAGAGGTGACCTGAGGACTTCAAGAGAAAGGGCTGACCGAAATGCTTGAGAAAACAAGCGTACATCAGGGCAGAAAACTGCCCATGAGGGACGCCCTGAACTTGCTTTGTCCTTGGAAGTCTCCTCGGTCGTTACCTAGCAACAGAAGCCCACTAGGGCAGACATGTCCGATAAGCTCAAGGCCTCACAGCTCAAGGCCTTACATATGCAATATGCGGTGTGTATGAGCCCACGTATATGGTGTGCAAGGCAAGGTTGTTTTGGCTTTCTCTGACTTGTGAAAAAGTGCAGCTGTCTCTGTTCCTATGCCTATATAACCATGCTGAGATAAATAGAAAATCACTGCTTCTTGCTCATAGCAGTCCCCTGTCTGGTTAGTACTTGGCGATCAGCATCCCAGTTCTCTGAGTCCACTAGAGGCTCATAAGGCAGACTGACTGAAATACACTGCTGAGGGAAGTAGCTGGCATGACAGGGGAGGTCTGCTGCACCATGTGGGTTGCTCCCTGGCTGGGGACCGAACTCGTGCTGCAGAAGCTGCAGATAGCTTCACAGTGCTGTGCTTAACCCCTTGCACCACCAGGGAGGCTCTCGGATGTAAAGTTTTATGGGAAGATGCTGTAATTAGTTTCCTTTTCAATGATCTACTCTTAATTTTGTAATGAAGAATTATACATTGTGATCTTTAAGCAGTTATTTAATTGTACATTCAGTACTGTGTAGGACTCTGGAGCAGGCAATTTGCTTGTTCATTACCTCTAGGGATCTGTTTGTGTGTGGGCTATGTGCATATGTTTCATCCAGTCACTTGTTAAGCATCCTTATATTTTCTATTTTCTACAAACCTTGTCATTTATGTGTTTTCATAAATTTGTAAGCTCAAAGCTGCATCTTCTCTTGTAATCTCTTGTGATAGGCTTTAGCTATGGGTATCAAGGAGTTCTGTTTTGGTTCCCCCTCTCTTTCAGCAAAACAGACAAATACTCTATTATATCTGAACTCCTATGGTCTAGTCTTGTCCTGCTATTGCAGGCACATTTCTATTTTCTCTTTTCTTCACTTTATATTACAATAATACTTGAAATTCCACAAGTATGTATTATAACACTGTCTTATTTACTGGTATACTTGTACATATTGTTTTAACTGCCTGAAATTTTTTCTTATCTGTTTGCAGAATTCTAACAATATCCAACTCAAAGGTTAATTTCTTGGCAACATGTTCTTTAATCCAACCTCAGTTCCCAAGGAAAATGAATCACTTCCTTCTCTGTGTTATCTCTGGACCTTGCACTCACAGAGGTGAGACCACTGGATTTGTCATTCCACTTTTTATTTGTTTATTTATAAACATGGTATCTTACCTAATTCTGAATTTCTTAAGGAAGATATTTTGATTTCCTTAATTTCTCTAGAACCCAGAATAATACCTAAGAGAGTAAATGCTTAATGGACGAAAGAGATTTATCTCATTTATAAAAATATATTGTGAAAGACTCATGCCTCTTCAAAGATAAAATCAGTCTATAAAGATAAAAATATGTTAACTGATAAAGATAAAAATCTGTTAACTGAGAAAACACCAGTTAGTTACACTAACTTGTCAATAAAATGAAAATATTTCCATAGAGTTTCACATAAAAGAGTTTTTCCATGTATTGTATTATTTTGTTATCACTATGGTAATACTTGTTGCATTATTATTATTATTGCAGCTGAGGGAATGGAGACCCTGCACATATAGGTGGTTTGCCCAAATTTTGGCCAGTTTGTTTGTTTGCTTCTAACCTCAAATTTCATGCTCATTTCATTTGCAAAGAGAGGAGTTATGAATGAACAGTTTAGTGAGCCTGCTTCAAGGAAAGTGGATAATTTATTTCTTTTATAGAAATTCTGAAATTGAAAATTGATTTGTGCTTTCTTAAAGATTATTTAGCATATAGCTCTTCTTTTTTTTTAAAATTGAATGGGTCTTTGCAATCATTTATTATAAAAAATGCAGGTCAGAACTTACAGTTGAGATATATGGCATAAGCTAAATATTCCCTAAGACTGTTGCAACATTTCAAAAAAATTCATGAGAAAGGAGAATTTTTAAAAAATAATTTTCCCTTTTTTTTGGATGAAGACAAGATAAAAGGAGTATGGGGATACATCTGATACTTTTCAATAGATCCTAATATTTATACATAGGCATATATAAATGATATATTTGCAACTGTTAAAAATTATTATAGAAATATAAAGCCTGATTTACATGATGGAATTTCAATTAATAGATGACTAATCATTGTAGAAATGGTTACAGTGTTATTGCTTAGCATTGCCCTCTTGTTATTTCAATAAGAAAATTAAAAAAAATATGGCATAAGCTATTTACCTTACACAGCGTTTAAACCAAGAATAAGACTTATTTAATTACACACACAGTTTTGTAGCCCAGAGTTACTATTTCCTTCTCTATGCTCTTCCTTGTTTCTTTCCATAAATATTCTGAGTTTAAAGAGCTTGCCCACAGGCCTCCCCTGGTGTCGCAGCGGTTGAGCGCTGGGCCGCAAAGCTGCCTGCAGCCTCTGCAGTGCTGGTTCAATCCCCCCGGCCACCGTTGAGGGTCCCACATGGCACACAGACCTCTCCTGCCATGCCTGCTGCTCCTCTCAGCAGTGTATTTCATCGGTCTGCCTGTTCTGTTCCCTGCTCTGGTGAATTCTCTCACCCTCTTGTGCTTCTGACTGTACCCAGTGCTTGTATAAATAAATAAATGAATAAATGAATAAATAAATAAATCAATCTTTTTTTTAAAAAAAAAAAGAGCTTGCCCGCATTTACGAGCATGCCCACTTGCCTACACAGTTTCTGTATATACCATTGTCAGAAGCTCTGGCCAGAGCTAAATTTTCTTTTCTTTTTTTCATTCTTGAAAGATTTATTTATTTATGCATATAAGAACAGAGGTGCAGGCCAGAGGTGTGGGAGGGTGAGAGGATTAACCAGAGACAGCGTGGGGAGCAGAAGAGGCAGATCTACTGAAATACACTGCTGAAGGGAGCAGCGGGAGAGACAGGAGAGGTCTGCTGTGCCATACGTGGGTTAACTACCCAGCCGGGGATCGAACTCATGCTACAGTGGCTGCTGATATCTTCCTAGTGCTGACACTTAATCCCTTGCACCACCAGGGAAGCCCCAGAGCTAAATTTTCTAAAATTACTAAAGCAGTGTATGAATGGGTCATCCCCCATTGTCCTATATGTTAATATTAACTTCTGTCCTAGTGCCACTCATCATTTTTTCATGTGAAGCCACTTCACAGGAAATCTTCCATTCCTTCCTAAAACTACTAACATCCTCCACCCTGTGAGGATGTGAGGGAACACCATTTCTGATATGTTGTTCCTGCCTATCTCTTCCCCATCCCTCCATTTCCAAAGCAAGGGTACAAACAATTGAGAAACATAATCAATATTTAAAAGGGCTTTATCAGAGTTTAGGGAATAAGGAAAAGGGAATGTAATGCAAACAGTAAGAGCTACCCTACTCTTTCTCAACAAGGTGGCTCCTTGCACATGTGCTCAGACATGTCCCTCCCAGCTGCCTTCTATTTCCCAACACTGAGAATTCCCCAATTCTCCACAACTCAGAATATGACCCTCAACAGTTTCTGCCCACAGAGACAGGATATTTCCTCTTAGTCTATCCAAATGACCTGAAAACAATTATCACAAAGTAGTATGATACTGCTGAATTTGCAAAAGCCTAGTAATTTAATTTCACTCATGTTCCACTTTGCCATTTCTATTACTATATATAATACACAAACATTTTATTTCAATTAATCATGTTCAGGACACATTTCTACTCCAGGAATTATGCATCTCTATGCAAATGTTCAGTATCCCTCAATGACTCAGTAGACTGTTAACATTAATTTGACCTTCAAGC